AAATATTGGAAAGCAAAAGTTTGGCACAGAGAAAGGAGGAGATTTACAGTAGAGGAGAAGAGGCAGGAATGAAGAAGGAGAACGCTTTGTGATGAGTACCGCTAAAGCACATGATACACTTGAAAGATAGTTTCATCATAAATCTAATCACTATATACAAAGAACATGCCTTAGTAAAAATGAAAAAAAAGAAAGAATTAAGATGAAAAACAATGCGTTATTTATCTCAAATATCATTCTATAGCTTTTCTGAGTCACAATATATAATCAGTTAAGGAAAAGAAAATTATGAATAAGTAAATATTGAAGCAATATGTCAATACTACCCAATTTTTATCATTGAGCTTTAATGAAATTTATCATCTTTATCACAGATGATAAACTAGACAACAAGGAACATTTTTATTCATCCATTGCTATAGATATGTTGTATTCAGAGTCCTGCTAATTCAGAAACGCAAGTTTATGCTCCAAAAATTTAAGCTCAAACTGTAACCGTGAACTCTTGAGTCTGGAGTGGAATTTAGGAATCACAGTGTGGATTATTTGTTTCTTGTCACAAGGTGTACTTTTCCAAATTCTAACTGATCAAATTCATTTCCCATGAACTGAATAACATGTATTTCATTCAGTCACAAAGCTAATGTGAAATGTCTTACCTTTTATTAAAATGCATAATTGCATTTTGTTCTCTGTGCTATTATTTAAACCTACTGATTCTGGCTGAGAAGTAGCTTCCTTACCATGTATGCAATGACATTGTGAATATATATTTATTGTCCTCATTGCCTCCAGTCAAATATATGATAAATGTTTGAGGTTTGTTTTTTTTTTAAGAAAATTGAAAATTGGAAACTTATACATAAGACTGTTCGTCTAGCCTGACCATGGGGGATTATTCGAAAGAGCATGTTAAGTTTCTCTTGGATTCAAAGAAAGAATTTTTGTAGGTCACAAATTCATGAGCTCATGTGAATTTCTCTAAAGAACACATTGCCTGGGAAGGTCTAATTGAAGTGATTGCATCACTAAATCAACCTGTCAGAGATGATAGGCTTGATGAAGTTTAAATTCACTTGTTTTGGGCTGGAGAGATGGCTCAGGGGTTAAGAGCGCTGACTCTTCTTCCAGAGGACCCGAGTTCAATTCTCAGTACCCACATGGCAGCTCACACCTGTCTGTAACTCCATTTTCAGGGGACCCTGACACCCATGGCAAAAACACAAATGCACATAAAAATAAAATAAAATATATTAAAAAAAATAAATTCACTTGTTTTAGCTACATCTGAAGGTTTATAATAAATGTAATAGCTAAATGTTTATACAAATAAAATCAATATACAAAAAATATATCATGCTTACTCTTAGGGTTATAAGAAAATTCATACATAATTATTTTTAACCTAGAGAAAAATATCTTTTTATAATGAAGTGGGAGCTAAATATAATAACTTTTTGATTAATAGTGTCTTTTTTTCCTATTTTAAAGATCCTGGTTGGTTTGGAGTATTTTGTTTGTTTGCCTGTTTGTTTTGTAAGAAAAGAGAGCAAGAAAGGGCATGGACTTGTGCAGGTAAAAAGGTAAGGAAAATCTGGGAGCGGTTGGGAAACAAACAGTGATCAATATATAATATATAAATAGAATTTTTTCAGTTAAAAAGAAAAATAGAGAATGTGGTAGGAAAATGAATATGACTGAAGTCCAAGGATATATATGTGTGAAAATGTCAACATGAAACCTATTATTTTGTACGCTAAACTGAAAGTATGTAAAAATTGATGAAAAGGAAAAATAGTCTTCAATAAATTAATGGATGTTTGGAATCAAGGAATCCACATTTATAATTTCAAATTTTATGCATAACCTCACAAAGATTCGACGTTAGCCCAGCATGTAACGGGCTGGTGGGGTGGCTCAGTGGGCGAAAGCATTTGTCACCACGCTTGACCCCTGAGGTGGATCTCTAAGACTCACATGGCAGAAGAGAACAGGCTATAGGAAGCTGCCCTCTGACCTCCATATGTACACACACAGATAACATAATAAAATACATTAAAAAACATTTTTTAAAAGACAGAATAGATGGTGACCCTATAGCTTTGTGGTTCAACAACGCAGTTAAATAACTAAACTTTGAAAATCTAATAATGACTTAAGATGATTTTTCTTTTCATTGTTTTTGTTTTGAGACAGGGTCTCACTATGTAACTCCACTAACTTCAAACTCCCTGGGATTGTCCTGGCTCAGCTTCTCTCTCAAGCACCATCAAACTACAGGACCATGCCACCAAATACAGCTTGAAAATGCACCTGCTTTGTGTTTCATTTCATTGGCAATTTCTCTGTGGCTTTTGAACAATTGTAACTTTCTTGAAAAAGCACAAGGAATTGGGGGTTTAAATAAATAATAAATACATTCCCATATTTATTTCTAAATCCCAAAGATGCTGCTAACATATTTCTTACTCTGTATCAGTATTGGATATTTAAATTTTTATTTTGTTTTATTGTAGTTCTCATGATACTAGAGATGAAATCTAGGGTACTGTGTATATCAGGAAATCACTCTACCAACTGACCTACCACTGAGTCTGTTTAGCTGACATACAGTATAGTATCATTTGTGAGGTACAAACATGGTGTGTGTGTGTGTGTGTGTGTGTGTGTGTGTGTGTGTGTGTGTGTGTGGTGAGCAGTGCTATAATAAAAATGAGATAGCAGATAACTGGAAATCCTAATTTCATTTCCATTGAACGTGTGCTTGGTGGATGATATAGGAAGTTCTTTTATATATTTTTTTAAAGAAACTTCATACTATATTTTGTAAAGAAACTACATATACATATATATATATATTTTAAATTATAAACTCTAAACTATGTTTTTTAAAGAAGCTACATATAGTGATGATGTAAATCTATATTTTCTCTCAGGAATTAGTATTATTTTTTTCCCATAACTGTTACATATACTAGAATGAAATGCTGGCAAATTGATAGAACTCCACAATGAGATTAATAAAACATGAATGAAAAAAATTTGATCCATGAACTGGCAAGATTTCTCAGCAAGTAAATGCACATACTAGCAAACCTAATAATCTGAATTTGGATCCTAGAATTCACATGTTAGACAAAGGGAATAAAACCCTTAGTTCATGGGCTGGAAAAATCATTATTGCTAAGATGTCTCTACTGTTCAAAAATGTCTTGAGATTCAAAAAAATTTGCTAGCAAAATACCAAGAAAATTATTCAAGTAATAGAAAAAAATTAACATTACTATAAGATCAATATAGTAGAAAGAAAAGTGGAGTTTTAAAATCATAAAATGTTTTATGATATATTCTGGTAAATACTACAATTATTCCACTTTCCTCTAACTAGTAAAACTAAGTATTGTGTTCAGGAAAAAAAATATATAGCAAGTAACATTCCATTTAATTGTATTTTATTACTCATACATAGTTTTTTATAAAGAATTGTCAGTATTTGTCTTAAATCAAATATAAAACATTGAATAATCTTTACATATTTCAATGATATTTTAAGATTTCAATACTTAAAGTTATCTAAAATCTAAAATATTTTGTTCTTATTTATCTAGGTTAAGTTTTGCTACTCTATATTCCTTAACTATGTGGTAGCTATTCTAATCCATTTATGTTTTTCAGATGTGCCTAAACCTTCAAATCCTTGAGTTCCTATGTTTTCCATGATGCTTATTTTGTTTTATGATTGTGCTTTGTTTCCCCTAAATACTCTTAATTTCAGTTCAATATCATTCAAGAACCTGCTTTACAACCAAAGCTAAGGCCATCTCTCCGGTCATAATACTATTCTGAAAACACCAGAGCACTGATTCTGGTGAGATTTTTCAAGTTCATTAGTTTGGCTTGACTTCATTCTCTTGAATATAACCCTGAGAGACCTAGAATTGTACCTGCCTTATCCACATGCTTAGAATACTATCAGAAAACTAGAAGCACATAACGCAATATTTGCTAAAGAACTGATTCAATCTGTGCATAAATACATAGTTTAATTCATTTAAAGAACATTTTCTCACTTTTTTTGTTTTCTCTTTCTTTTATCCAGTCAGCAGACCACATACTGATTTAATAACTTCCTCATAGAAGTTTTCACTTCCTGGTTGCGAAGTGTATAGATCACAGGATTCATCAAAGGAAAAATGACTGTGTGGAAGAGAGAAACAACTTTGTCAGCTTGGAGAGCCCGAAAGGGGCGGGTGTAGATAAAAATGGCAGGCCCAAACATGAGAAACACGATTATAATGTGGGTGGTGCATGTAGAGATAGCTTTGCTCTTCCCTTCAGAAGAGTGTCCTTTGACATGGTAGAGGATGACAGCATAGGATGACAGGAGACCCAGGAAGCATAAGAGGCTAAGCAGACCACTGTTAGAGACCATCAGAAGCTCTACTGCAAAGGTATCAGTGCAGGCTAGCTTAATGACCTGTGGAACATCGCAGAAAAAGTTATCCAGCTGGTTTGGACCACAAAAGGGCAAGTTCACGATAAGAGCCACTTGTACAATGGAATGAGCAAAACCCCCAAGCCACAGAGCCAACAGTAACACATAACAGACTCTGGGGTTCATGAGAGTGGAGTAGTATAAAGGACGACATATAGCGATATAACGATCAAAGGCCATCACAACAAGAAGGAACATTTCTCCCGCTCCAAGAAAGTGCAAAAAAAATAGCTGAGTGATGCAGGCTTTGTAAGAAATGATTTTTTTCTCACAGAAGAAATCCACAAGCATCCTGGGAGCTACAATGAAAGAGTAGGAGGCATCCAGGAAGGCCAAGTTTCCCAGGAAGAAGTAAAGTGGGGCTGTGAGTCCAGGGTCTGATCTAATGGTGAAAATGATAAGAAAATTTCCAGGAAGAATTACTACGTAGAAAACTGAAAGTAGTGCAAAGACCAGGAGTTGAGTATCTTGAGATTGGGTCAGGCCAAGGAGGATGAATTCTGTTACTACTGAGCTGTTATTGGTCTCCATCACTTCCTAATCTATAGAATAAAACATGGTATGTGTTATGCATGCCTTTTCTTCTGTTTCAAAGATTAAATCTACATGAAAACAATGATTGCCATAACCAGTGCACCACAGCTAAAGGCAGCTATGTTAAACCCCCATCTTTCCTAATCCCCACTAAGACACTGTTCTTCATAGATACTCTCATTTCCATTTCACTACATGCTTGTACATAACTGTAATTTTATGAGGATGGACCAAATTTCACAGCTATGTCAACCATTCCTTTTGTTTTATTTTATTTTTTCTGTTGGTGGTGACTCAATGTTTTGCTAGAATAGTTGCTAGATTTTTGTTCCTTCTTTGTATCATCATAGAGAAAACTGCATTTGAAATTGTTTCTCTACTTCAATTCCCATGACATGCTTCCATTTAGTTCTTATTTCCTTTCTGAATTATTTAATTGCTGATTCCCATCACATTGTTGTTTTGTTGCCCACATGCGTTCTAACTTCCAAGCATGTTGTTAGGATCTGAAATAGAATCCAAACCTTCACTTCACATATAGGCATCCTCCTAATTAAATTTCTGACCAGCCCAAACCTACATGTACGCCCTGTGCCTAAATTCTTGTTATTGCTTTTCAGGTGCATTTGCTTTTGATTTATCTTAATATACTTACTCCTATATCTCAGAATGGTACCAAAATGATATATTTTCCAAAAAAATTTTGGCATTATTGTACCTATAATCAGTACATGGAAAAATTATGATGACCTCAACTCATAAAACAGAGCAGGAAGTGGACATGAAGAAGATATATTCTAATATGGTTCTTTGGTAATTGAGAAAATTGAAAATTTGTCATTAATTTTAAATATATAATGAGTTAACTTTTTGGTTATCATTGAGAAGTGATAAGGGAAATGTGTATTCATTTGTTTAAAGATAAGGAAATTATTAGTGTTTCATTAATAATTGAGATTTTGACATTGTTTATCAAAACATTCTTTCTCTTGTAACTTTTGTCCTAGTAAGAGTTATATTTGTTAGAGAAATTTATAATTTAATTTTCATCTGAATACTTTTCTTCAGAGTAGAGTGTATCCAGTCCAGAGATGTGCACATTAAGATCCATTTTTACATAAAATAATGGAACTTTTATCTCTATGTCTAAAATAATCTTATTTTGTGCAATAACATATAATGCCATAATTTTAAAAATTCATTTTGTTAAGTAGTCATGTTTTGTGGGATTGTACATACTCCATTGTTAGAGTATATGGCTTAAAAGACAGATTAACATTTATTACAACAAATAACTATAATGTCACGTTAAAAAATGATGTCCATATACTTGAACTAAAAACAATATTATGCTACAGTTACAGATGTAAGCAATTTGGAAATAGAAAAAGCAATGAATTGCTGCTAAGTGTTAAAACATAAGTCACCTGAAACACTATGTGTTTGAAAGGAGATAGTCACAAAATGAATTCATGTAAACTCTCCATAATAGAGCATTTACAGAGGCAGAAAATTGATTAGGCATTGATTAGGGTGAGGCCTGAAATGGAGGTTTACAACATATATGAGAGATTTCATATGATGAAAATAGTATAGAAATGTGGACAATTCCTAAATATATTTATAGTACACTTAAATTGTGAATTCTTATCTAATGCTGATTATGTTAACATGTTTAATGTTGCCATTTAATTTTGAGGGGTAATTTCAAAGAGGATAGATTTTTGTTTAAAATATGGCATAAAGTATTAATAATCTTTCCATAATAGCAAGAGAAAGGAGGAAAGAAAAAAGTCATATTGATAAGTCCCTAATGAGAATTCATGAGAAATTTTGACGTCATTTTACATTACTTCACATATATCTGAACTTATAGGTGATTAATAACGTGCAAGTAACATTCAGATGTTATAGCACAAGTTTGTGAAATATGTGGGCACATATTTGGATACACCAACACATACTGAAAAGCATACAATCACATACTTAAGAAGTGAAAACAGACTGAAAGAGCAAAAATCTCTGATTCTCTTTGAACTCATTGAAGAGCTTCTTTGCCATTTTATTTTATTTATACATCTGCGGAACATCACTTTTATACCATACCTACCTGTAAAAATTTCTCAGAAAAATTAGTTCAAAGCCCTCTTTCCTACTTATACATTGTGACATTGCAACATTGATGCACAGTTAATCATCTCAGTCTTCCCTGGATTTGTAATTTGAAAACTTAAGAGTGCCCGAGGGTGGTCTTCTCCTTCCATCTTTCTTTGCCTTTTTTTCTGTGTCCACCTTGGTCCCTCTTGCCTATCATCTGGAAGTAAGCCTGTGTTGTTATTTAACATCTTTGACCAACCTCTTGTCTTCTTCTCTTCCCATTTCTGTGTTTGTTTCAGTGACTCCCAAATTGTGCTGATCCCAGTAACTGAGAACAGAGGTGTAACAAATGGACATTTCTCTGTACAAAATAAGTTCAAAGGGGAAAAGTCTGAAAAAAAAATGTACTGCAAAGGAACAAGTGTTTTATTCCACTCAGTTGAGACGATGAAGGATTGTTCACGTAGGCTAAGGTAGAAGTCTTAATTCTTAGCCATTTCTAAATTTGCTTGTTTCAACTGATGAGAAAAAAAACCAAAATAATTGGTATTGAAAATACATGTGCAGAACACACAGCATCGTTCCCATTTTCTCAGAGTTCATTCACATAGGCAGTCAGGATACACTGCATGCACTCATTCCTAAAGCTAAGGGTTTTGGAACAACATTTCTCTCCTAGCATCCTGTCTCGTTCTCTATCATCTTTGTGGGTTCCTTCTTTCTCCATTTCATTCCTGACAATTCTGACTTTATTTCTTGTACTCTTTTACATGTGTTTTTGGACTCATTGCTTATCTTTATTTTTCTTGCAATATATTTCTCCAATCCTGTCTATTTCTCTAATCCTCTCATTTTCCTATATTCTTTAGCTATTATTTTTTGCTTTGTTCTCTGCACTTACCAACTAATTATGTTCAAACAACAATTAGTGATAAAAAGAAGCCATGAATTTGGGAAAAAAAGAGCAAAGAGTTCTTGGAAGAAGGAAAACTAAGGGAGAAAATTATGTAATTAAATTATACTCTCAAAAAATAAAATAAATAATTAAATTTGTGCATATACACAAATTCTTCTTTAAATTATAATGTCTGGCTCACTTTACCCATTAAAAGGAGCAGTAGGCACAGTAAATACTTCCAAAGTGTCCATTTTGGTGGGTTTATTAATGATTAGAAGTGTTTCTCTCACTTGTCAGTGCTGAGCCTTTTCTTCTGAATTTTCTCCACTTTGAAATGTTTTAATCCAACATGAATTACTCTCCATCCTCTTCCATATTTTTCCTCTTTCTAACTCATCTTGGAACAAATGATGGTCTTTGTTCACAAAATACAGCTCTAGTTATTAGATTCGCTAAATAACATGTTTTATGTGTAATGCAGTCACTACATAATTTTAGAAAAGACATGGGTTTTTTTTTGGTTTTGTTTTTCTTGTTTGTTTTTTGTTTTGTTTTGTTTTGAGACAAGGTTTCTTTATGTAGCCCTGGCTGTCCTGGAACTCATATTATAGACCAAGCTGGCCTCAAAATAAGAGATTCACCTTCCTCTACCTCCCAAGTGCTGGGATTAAAGGTGTGTGCCGCTACCATCTGGCAAGACCTGGATTTTTAAAAGTATGCAATTACATCTAACGAAAGAGATGGATTTATCTGCTTTTCTCAAAAGTAGAGAGCATCAAAATAAAATAGCATGATTAGCAGTCAGTGTCTAAATTGCCCTACAAAAGAATTCAGTGATGAGTAAAATTATACTACAATATCATGAATGGATATATTAGTTGAAATTCTGTGATTGTCCTGGTGTTGACCCCAGGATCTCAGACAGATTTATGTAAATATGTGATTATTTGACTAAATCACTCTTTCTTAATTTCAGTTCTCCAAATTTGATCCTTACATTATTTTATGCTATGATCATGTATAAAACAAGAAACAATTCACATAAGCAGGAATACAAGATAGTTATAAAATCAGTGAAATTCGTTGTGAGACTAAGTTTACTTACATTTTCTGATACAATGTGATTCATTTTGGCTCAGAATTATGGAAGAACAGTCATTTGTACTAGACTCAAATTAAAGTTAAGTTTGGGAATGCCAAAGATATTGTTATTGCACCTTGTTTATAATAGAATGTTAGCCTGTTTAAATTAATTCTGGGCATCAGATGTAGCAGGAGTATTATTTCATGAGAGGGTAGGCAGTAGTAAGCAGCTGAATTTAGTGGTCATTCTTACTCTGCTCTCATGAATTTCAAGGCAAAAGTAGTCCCAGAAAAAATATACTTTTCTATTTCTTATTTCTATGTATTTCTTTTAAATATAAATAATGACAATAAAGTTTCACCTTAATAGGAGTCCAATATTTTCAATCAAGTAGCTATCCTTTTCCATCAACTGGAAAAAAACCAACTAATCATGTAAAAGCTTTCTTTAAATGTGTTTTCTCATGTTGGTAAATCTGTAGATTGTGAAATCTCCTTTTTACATTTATGATGCAAAACAAAATGTGCTTGGGGATTTTATTAGCACCTATTTAATACAAAAGGGAATTGATAGAGCAACAACTCAAGCAGGTGCAACAGCCACAGGTCCATTTTAAATATTAATCAAAGAAGATGGCATCTAAGACCTCACTGTTCATGATAAGGCTTAAAATTTTCCAATTATCACTGACATCTGTAATGGTCTGGCACTTAAGTTCACAAGGGAAGACAAACAAGATATCCATGCATGTAACAACAATCTATTCATATTTTTGAAGATGTTAATAAATATTAGTTAATAAGATTTAGACATATATTAGGTGAAGAGACAGAAAAATTGTCCTGTACCATGTATCATTTTTAAAAGATTTATTTATTTGTTTATTTATTAAATACATATAGTATTCTATCTGCATGT